AAGAACTCGACGAGTTCAAGGATGGACTCGACGAGTTGGATCGTGAAATCACAATTCTGTGATTCATAGGAACTCGACGAGTTGAAGGGTAAACTCGACGAGTTGAGTCAACTCGGGTCGTTGACTTTGATTTGACCTAGACTTGACTGTGACAATGGTTGACCTTAAGAGTTGTGAGTATGAAATGGCAGCTAAGGGATTGTTTTGGTTCAGGGAGTGAGTAGAGCTGATACCGGGGCAAAGACGTTTCAACTATCATCCGACATTTGAGGTGAGTTTCCTCCTGTAGGAACGGGTCGAAGGCACCAATGTCGGCTCGTTTATGTATGTTAGTATGTTTCGGATCAAGGTCCGATGTCGGGTGGTGCCTGATGAATGTTTATATGTTTTCCGTATTTCGGTCCGATGTCAGGGCGATGCCCGAGGAATATGTGTATGCTTGATGTCTTCGTGATTCTTGCATGTGTCTGTATTTGTATGTTTCCGGATTTTGGTCCGACGTGGGGCAATGCCCGAGGAATGTTAGTATGCTTTCGGATTTCAGTCTGATGTCGCGGGGCCCGAGGAATGTTTATATGTTTATGTTATGTGATTATTTATGTGTATTTGTTGATATGTTTATATGTATACCGAGCTTTGCTCGATGCCGGGCGGGGCCCGATGCCGGACTATGTCCGATGCCGGGCGGGGTCCGATGCCGGACATTGTCCGATGCCAGGCGGGGCCCACAATATGTTTATATGTGATTATGTGCTTATGTGTATGGTATGTGGTAGTTTGGGGAGACTCAATAAGCTTCGTGCTTACAGTTTTCAGTTTTGGTTTCAAGTACTTCCGCTAGCAAAGGGTAGAACTCGGGATGACAGCATTGCACACACCATGATGTTTTTGCCTGGGATGTTACTCTGATATATTTGACATATGTTTTGATATGAGATACTATTACTTATGTTTTGATGAGATGATTTGTTAATTATGGTTTTATTTAATAATTAAAAATGAAATTTTTGGTCATGATTTTTGGGTTGTTGCAATACATGTGTCATATGGGCTTTAAGCTTTGGGCTAATGTCATAAAAGCCCTTAAGTTTTCCAAAGATATTCAGTTTTACCCTTGGTGAACATTTGTGTCTACTAATACCCAACATTTGTTTATTTTTTATCACCACTGCCCTTTAACAGGCTATACCCGGTAACCACTCACCTCTTAATCAGTTATTCTTCATCAAGCTTCTACCTATCAGGTAAAAACATGGCTTCGACACCTCACCATCATCATCGATACTTACCTCCCACCATCATCTTCATCAGGTTTCGTTAGAAAAAGAAAGGAAAGAAAAAGCATAATCGCAAACCCTAAACCCCTTCTATTATTCATCATCTTCTCCAACTGCTGCTAATCGATTCATCATACATGCGTGAAATCATATTCCTTTTGAAGAACCTTCCTGATCGATTAAACAATAATTGGTGGGGCTTGATGTTAGATTAAAGAAGGTTTGGTTCGTCTCTGAATCTCAACCCATTAGTCAACGAGAAAAATACACACACTATGTGTTCAATTTGTAATAATCAAACAAACCTATATTTGTGTTCATCTTAAAAAAACCCAGATTTGTGTTCATCTTAAAAAAAAAACCCAAATTTTTGTTTATCTTCCAATAGGCATGGTAACTCAGATTTGTGTTTTAATGGCTGTTTGTTTTCATGTTGCTTTAAACCCATATTTCAAAATCCAAATCTTCAAGAACATTGGTGGTATAAATTGATGTGGAGAAGACGAGAACAAACCCATATCTTTCAAGAACAAATGATCCCAGATCTGAAATGTTGTTTCGAAAAATCTTGTTTGAGTTATGAGTTCTTTGACTGTATGTGTATGTGTTTTTCAAGAACGATTCCAAATCTTATTTGAATTCTTCTTGTTTAAGTTCTGAATTTTGTTTCCAAAATCTCATTTTTCAATCTGAAACCGATGCACACCAAGTTCTTTAGTTATGAATCTGAAATCCTTTCCTTGTTTGAGTTTGTTCTGAAATCTTGAGTTTGTTTTGAAATCTTCTTTGAGTTCTGAATTTTTGCTTGAATGTGTGTGAGTTCTCAGATAAACCTTCTTAAAACTCTTGATGAAATTTGTGGGTTTTGGTTTAAAACATAATGGGTCGGTGTTGGATTTGCTCAAATTGTTTTTATTCAATCGGTGGGGGGAAGAAGAAGAAGGTTTAGGGAGATTGTTAGTGGGTTTGCACATCGTCAAGGAAAAAGGAAGAGGTAACCAACTAAGGGTTGGAAACCTGATAAAAGGGCTTAAGCACAAAACTTTTAACAAATATCCGGTATTAGTAGACACAAATGTTCACCAATGATAAAACCGAATATTTTTGGAAAATTTAAAGGCTTTTATGACATTAGCCCTTAAGGTTTCTCCAACTAATGGATGTTTGGTATTGCTTATTAACTTATAATATAATATTGGTTTGATACAATAAGTTTTCAATATTACATAGTTTAAGTTAAATTTTAGTGATCGGATGGATAAACATTACGAGCATTTATTGATTGTTTAACAATGAGTTTTTAATATTAGTTTCTTATTTACCCTATCTTTAACCTAATACTCCTTATAATCATCGACGGCTTTTTTTGTTTCACAATTTTTTTCCTTCACGAAAAGAAGGCAACGTCAACTTGCATCATCAATCGCAAAACACAGATTCCACCTTTATTCTCCTTCCTTTTTTTCTTCAATATCATACTTCCTAATTCTTGATATTTTGTTAAGTTATTGATTCTTGGTTATTGGGTCACTTACAAAAATTAATAATATGAGAAACAATGAGCGGACCACCATTTAATTTACAATAACTAATTTCACCGACAAAATCTTTCAAGAATATTATTTTTCGTTAGCAAAATTTCTTCCTAAGTATGTGTGGGCATGCGAGGGTACCACAACAGTGGTTGTCTGCAACAATTAAACTCTTACAAAAGCTGCTTTGGGTATTACAAAAACACATTTTTTTTTCTTCCTATTATGCTTATCTATATTTGTTTCCACTATGTATAATTTTTCAAATTCTTTTTTTATAAGCATTTGTTCTTCCACCGTTTGATGTAATATAACATTTGGAATATTTGTTGTTCTATATTGTATATTTGTGTGCATGGTTTGAACTGAAAATTTTCAGTTTAACAATTTGACAACTTTACACCATAGATTTTTTTATAGCTTTGGGTAGTATTTGCCATGTGGTCGATTATAAATATTCATTAATGCTTTAAAATTGATGAGCACACTATAGTGACGGGGATGGATTGTGATGGAAAAATATATGTAAATCTCATAAAACTTTGTTTTTTTTGGGCATTTAAGGTTGTATATTTTGTCTTATAAAAATAGTCATGTAGTTGCAAAATATATTTTTCTAAATATTCTTGATAATAACTTCTATAAATAATATTATTATAAATGATAAAAAAAACTCTTATTAAAAAAACAAAAAAGTCAATAATGTGCAAGATGCTTTTTTCAATTATTTTACACGTATAAACCAACTTTGTCAAACACTTATGTATAATAATGTTATGACACAAGACCTATAAATAGACTGGTTACTTGTGTTTTTTTGATAGCATTTAGATGTTTTATCATAATTCATCAAATAATTGTACACATCATTTTCTTATCTTATATCAATTATTTATATCCATTAACTTAATGAGCGTTAAACCAAAAAAATACAAATAATTTGATCATAAAGGTATTTTGATGATGCATATAGATTGTCAATATGTATACAACTTGTGATATTAGGAAGAGGGAAAGAAGAATCTTCTTATCACTGACCCAAACCGACCAAACCACCCCATGACAATTTTCTGCATTTCATTTTCAATTACAAGTTACGATAAATAAAATTACATAGAAAACAATCATATTTAGAGATTCTGTCCAAACATGTTTACTCTTATGATACGTCATACCTTTTATGGAAATTTTATCCGGACAATAATTGTTTGCAACAAAATACTAAACATATTGTGTAAATTGAGTTTTAGTTAATTCGTTATCACATTTGATCATTTTAAATATTGTGTGTATATCGTGTATTTTTAAAACTTTAAATTTGTTTCCAATACACCATTATAAATTATAAACAGCTATAATATGTGGTTTGATGTTCATAATGATATAAGTGGTATTGTTAATGCATATAGATGATATTTGTATAGCTAGGTATAGGCCCATTATTGTATAGCTCATCTTGTAGTATTTATTTGTATTAATATGAATATATTCATTACCGAAAAAAGTCAATAAGCAACATCGTATCGTATATGAATATATCTTTTAAACCTTACACCCTCCTAGTTTCATTCTAGACAAAGAAACGAAAACTAACTTACTAGAGAATGAATGATGAATGTTTAGAAAACAAAGAGAACACAAAAATCACAATATGTATATTGACAAAAAAAATGTGGTAATACTTGAATTAAATGTAGTTATTTAATGGTTTTAATGCAGTTACATTAGAACATAGTTAATAATCAAATTTAACATAGGTATTAATTTCTATTTCACCTAAATGTCATGTGACATGAAATCACAACAACATTGTTAATTTAGATTCTTTTTATTCCTCAATCATCCATAAACTCTTTTTCTTGTAATGATTCTATCATTATGACTAACAAACAAACAATGTATAATCAATCATGAAGGCGTATTTGAAATGATCAAATATCATATTAGCTTGATTGCAAATTTCAACATCAATCCGGTTTAAAGATTATTCACCCACAAATCTTGTATCCTACCAATGTGTAAACTTCTTGAAAGAATGGCAAACCATATTTGAAATGTACTACACGTACTACCAACAATGCACAAGGTACAAATCTTGAAAACATAGACTTGTGTATATCGACGTGACTAGATACGTTGCACGCTTGTAATCACACGCATACCATCAATATTATAAATAAAACACCAAAGAATAAAAATGATGAAGTCATATTTCACTTTGTTTCTTTTGTTCACACTTTCTTCTCCACCACCTCCTCACATGGCTCAGGTAATAATCGCTAATTTCTTCATTTTCGATCGGAATTTCTTGGATTTTTGTTTAAAGTTTTTGTTTTTCTGCATGTTTGTTGAGTAAACAGAAGGTGGTGCTCAAGGTTCTTACCATGACGGATGATAAAACGAAGCAGAAAGCCATTGAAGCTGCTGCTGATATCTATGGTAAAATCTCTAAATCTCTCACTTTGTCTCGATCAAATTGAAATCGGAAATGGGATTCGATTGAGATGAAGGATGAATTGAATGATGAATCTTAACAGGGGTGGATTCGATTGCGGCTGATCTGAAAGATCAGAAGCTGACGGTGATCGGAGAGATGGACACGGTGGCGGTGGTGAAGAAGCTGAAGAAGGTAGGGAAGGTGGACATAATTTCAGTTGGACCAGCGAAAGAACCTGAAAAGAAAGAAGAAAAGAAAGAGGAAAAGAAAGAAGAGAAGAAAGAAGAAAAGAAAGAAGAGAAAAAGGAAGAAGTTAAAGAAGAGAAGAAGTAATCCAACTTTTTTTTTTTCCTTTCGATTCATATTCATAATCTTTATCTCTATTTCTATAAATCAAATAAATTCGATCCTTCAAAAAAGTGATATTTTTCTAGAATCGGCTAAACGCGTGGAATGACTCAGAACTGAGTCATGAGCAGATGATGAACTCGATCCATATGAATGCACATTTACTTAGCTTCATTTGCAAGCACTGAATTACTGTATCTTTGAATGTTAGTATTTTATTATTATTTCTTTGTAATTTTCTGTGTTTTCATCTTTGTGGGGTTTTGAAGTCTTAACTTTTTTCATATTTATCTATTTGATGGCCACCAACCTTCAACAAACAGAACAACTTTAGTTACTTTTGTTACTTTTGTCTGAGGTATAGTAAACCTACAAAACTTTCAGTAGGGTATGTTGATTTAACATGAAAAAGAATTAAAGATTCTATTCGAAGTCATTTTTTCCTATATATATGCATGTGTTCTTTTGTCGAAAATATACAGTGAAAATGGACAAAGTATTGTCGACTTCAATATCCAAGATTGAGATTCTTGTATTTTAACTATTAACCCTAGCATAGAACAAGCATAATTTGGAATATATTGGCATTGTTTACTCACTCGGTGAATCTGACTTTTATCAATGATACAAAAATTACAATTTTGTTGACATTATTCTGGGTATGTACAAAAGACATGAATGTGCTTCTTATATGTATCTTTAAGATTTGTTTTAAAAAGTTGTTTAATTTGGTATAGTAATTGCTTAAAATGAAACTCTTTAAAATGAAATCGACCTACATTCGTATCCTACATAAGAAGAAAAGAAGAAAAAAACAAAGAAGGAAGCATGAGTCATGAGATGATCATGAAGGTGTCTATTCTTTAACTAATCCCAAACACCAAAGGCCAAATAGATCTAATATCACCTAGAGAAGTAATAAGAAAATATATAAACAAATACCCATATCCATTGATTCCTCCACTCGATTTCTTTTGATAGTGACTTATCTACGCAAACCATAACGACATGCTCCACGCAATAAGTCAAAATATAGTATAATAGTGCATCTATTCTAATAAAATATTTCCACAAACAGTTAAATAAAAATGAGTTAAATATTAATCAAATGTCTAAAACAAATTTGAATATCCAAAAGTCCATATTTCCTTTCGTAATCCGAATTTGGAAATATCTAAATCTGGACTTTTTTCATGTAGAATGAAATAATATATAACTAATAATACATTTTTAATAAATGATAGAATTATTAAAAAAAAATAGGCCAGTACGTTTAATTATTTGTAAATAGATAACGCTTTGACAATCAAACAATATCATTTAAAGATGTGAAGAGGCAGAGACAGATAGAATTGATATTTAATTTAGTAAAATGTCTTTAGCATGAGTTAGCATTTAACAACCACAATATCTCTATATATAATATATGAACAAGTTAATAATGTTTTCTCGAAGATTCATTGATCAATAATCAATTGGCATCAACCTTTGACATCTGATTATCACCCATAAAAAGAATATATTAAAGATATAGATTATAATATGTAGAGATGGAAAAACAAAGGAGCAGAAAATACAAAATAGAGAGCAGAAAATACAAAATAGAGAGAAGGCATGAATGTTATTGTTCATTATTTTTTTGTCTCTTCAAATGTTTGTTGACACACATTACAATACTTGTCTAATAAATAATCAACTTGCTTAAGTTCTTCGATGTTTGTTGCTTTCCATCAACTTCTTTTGTTTCTACTTTTAGTTTCCAGTATTACTGACGGAGCTTGAAGTTATGATTTAGGGGCCGAAAATACAATATGTATAAAAATTAGAAAACAGGAGGTCAAAGTCAAATTTTATAGTTTTTAGGCCTAATATGTAAATTTTCAATAGTTATGGACTAATTATAAAAAAATAAAGGGGAGGGGGAAAGTTCTTCCTCTGTTGAAATAGTTGTTCTATTTCTGAATAGCAGAGCCTTATCCAACCATATTCATATAATCATTCATATAATATAAACAATCTATCCCGACGCATCATTTAGATATAATCTTATCCTAATCTTTTTATTAATTCCGTCATGTCGTTAATTTTGGTATCAGAGCTACGCACTTACTTTTTCAAATTGGTATTAGAGATAAGTTTCGTTCTTATCATCTTTATTATAAATATGAGTATTCATCCGTTTCATTCAAAAGAAAAATATTCATCATGCATCATTATAAATGTTATTATATTCATGCATATCATTTGCCATACTCATCATAAAATTTAATAGACATATTAAACGCCACTATCACCATCATTTCTCAAACATAAATAAATTTCTGTTTTTATAGAATTATAATCATGAGTTTTTCAAGTTTAAATATTATTAAACAAGAATTAAAGTTTTTTCGTAAAACATTGAAACAGTCTAAAAAATTTCTTTTAAATTTAAAAATAGATTCTAACATATCAATAATTAATTGTATATCTAATATTGAAGCAATACATATAATAAATAATAGTATAAATTGGAAACAAAAAAAATAAAAAATCTAGAAGATAAAATAACAAAACTAATCTGTTAAATATGTCTCAAGAAATAGAAAATTCACCAATCATTATTAATAACGAAGAAAATGAATATGGATACACTTTTGATGCTTTAATTAACAAAAATTACATTAATAAAGATGCTATAAAAAAATCAAATTTTACACTATCAGAAAAACATAATTTTAAAAATAACTCATTAAAAAATTTCTTTTCTAGAAAAAATATTATATATTATGAAAAAATTATAGGAGAAGAAGCAATACCTATAGAATTAACTCAAGGAAATATTATTATACCCATAATAAATAAACAACAAATTAGAAATAGATTATCTAATATTAAAGAAGTAGATAGAATAAAAATTGTTTATATTCATATATCAACTTCAAGTAATTTTAAAAAGTACTTTTAGCGATTTAGATACACCAATAGAATTAGAAATCAGAGATGACCGTATAATTAATAACTAAGAAAGTATTATTGCAAAAGGAAAAAGTAATTTAATTGAAGGAAAAATAAAATTTGATATTAATATTCAACTAGGATTAAGTCTTAAAGATAAAAATCTAAGTAATAGTATTACTGTACGATATAAATTATTAAGACAAAATTTTATGTTAAAAGGTAATCAGTCGTTTACTATTACATATCAAATAAATTATGCATTAACAAATTCTCAGCATAGTATTACATTTAAAACAGAAGATAGAATTTATATAGATAAATTAGTTACCCCTTTATTATCACTTGAATCACCAAATATGACTAATAACAGAATATTTAATGAAACTAATTTTCAACCAATAATAACTACTCCATTAATAAAAAGAAGTCCAATTATAGAACCTCCAATTTCAACCATAACAGGTAGATCCTCCATCTCGGAATATCAACCTACAACATATACTGAAAATCAAAATGAAAAATTAGAAGATATTAAAGAAATGATTAGATCATTAAGTTTAAGAATATGACAGAATCATCTAGTAATTCTTTAAAATATTTTAAAACACTTGAAGGTTCATATCAAAATACAAAACCATGCATACCAGATAAAGAAATGATTATAGAAATACCGCAAAATTTACCACAAGGAACAATATATAATATTGGTCTTAATTCTGAAGAAGATAAATCAATAGGAGATAAATTAAATATAATTAGTCAAAAATTAAATAATATTATAGAAGTAGAAAATTTACTTGTATTAAAACAAATTCCTGAATTATTACAAAGTTTAACTCAACAGAAAATATTACTTGAAAAATATTTAAAAATAAAAATCATTAAAGAAGAACCACTTAAAAAAGAACCATTAAACAAAAATCACTCACTATTAAACGACCTTTTACATGGTAAAAATAAATAATGAGCAACAACACCCAAATATATTGTAATTTCGATAATAAATATAAAGTTAATTTACTTAAAAAATTATGGAAAGATTTAGAAAATTCCACAAAACATTTAAAAGAAAAAGAATCTGAAGTACACGAACTAATTTCTAAAAACAAGAATTATACTGCATATCAATTAATTAAAATTGGAAGATTAAGAACTCAAATTAATCATTTTAAAATAGTAATAAAAGACATTAACAATTCAATTAATTTTCTTTCAGACGCTTTAATAATTTGTTAAAATGAATTTAAAAGTACAAATTAATTTTTCAAAAGATAACATGCTTTGGACTAATATATTAATAAACCATTGGAAAATAAATTATAATATCTCTAATATCATTTAACATTTAGAAAATGCTTTATCATATGAAGAAAATTATTTGTTAAAATTACAATCAGTAAATGAAGAATATAATAATCAATTAAAAAAGATATCTAGATTACAAGAAGGAATTAAGAAATACAAAAAATCACAAAATCGTAATTTAAAAACAATACGCAATGTTTCAACCACTCTAACAAACACAACTTGTTAATATGGAAACTTTGCAAGAAAAAATAAAAACACAGATATAGAAATTTATAGACTAACTCTAATGAGTAAAAGAAAAACAAATATTAACCTAAACAGTACCTTTATTACAACTAAAATACAAGATAAAGAACTAGTTTCGTATATAGATACAGGAGCTACTTTATGTTTTGGAAGAAGAAAGATATTAAAAAATTGGGAAAAATTAGAAAAACTATTAAAAATTACAATTGCTGATAAATCAATTCACAAAATTTGGTTCGTAGGAAGAGACATAGATATAGTAATTGAAAAAGAGCCATTTAAAACTCCAACTATATATCAACATGATTCAGGAATAGATTTAGTAATAGGAAATAATTTCCTTAAATTATATCAACCATTTATACAAACAAATGATCATATAAGTCTCAATCATCCGACAAAAGGTATTATAAAAACTACAATTATCAAACATTATAATCTTATTAAAATAATCAAACAAGAAGTTGGTTTTCAACTACGTATATTACTAACGTTCGCTAAAGAAATTGCTGAAAAACAACTTGAAGAAGTATGTAGTGAAAACCCGCTAGATCATTTAAAAAATATAAATAATCAAGAAATAATAATATTATTAAAAAATCCTAATGATGAAATTAATATTCCAAATAAAATTCCATATAGTATAAAAGATGTTTCTGAATTTAAACAAGAATGCACTGAACTATTAGAAAAAGGAATCATTCGACCTAGCACAAGTCCCCATTCTGCACTTGCATTCTATGTAGAAAATAATAATGAAATAAAAC